GCAAGACGCAGCCCCAGCACTGGCAGTGAGCTGTGGTGGGGTCTGGGCTCTGCTCTACCAGCTGATGAGGGTCAGGGCCAGACCTCTGGGTCTGGAGAGGAGAGCCCCTGGGATCAAGACCCAGCCACACAGAGCTCAGCAGTGCTGGTCACAGCAGGGCTCCTCTTTCTGAAACGCAGCCCTGCCTGTCTCCTTTGGAGCCTTTGAGATGTTCCTCACAGCCCTCCAGGTCTGGGATCAAGCCAGTGCTCTCCACAGTTCCAGCTTCAGCTCCTGGGTAGACTTGGGAATGGTTTGCTGGTGCTGGAGACCCCTGCACTGCTGCTGTCATAGTGTCCTCCCTGAACCTTTTATTCTCTGGACTTCAGTGTCCCCACCTGCACAGTGAACACAACTGCTGCTTACCCAGCCAGGGAAACAGGAGGTTTAACTGGGCCCCTTTTGCTCCCAGCAGTGTTGGCAGGGAAGGGAAGGGACAGCTTTGCACCTCTGTGCATGGACCTGCCACTCCACTCCCTTTTCTCACCGGTGTCTTCAGAGGTGGCAACGCAGAAAACAACAAAAGAAGAAAAAAAAAAAAAGCTCCACAAAACCTGCTCTCTGCTCCTGTTGAAGCAGTTTACTTTCAAGGCAGGTTTTCCAAAGCACTGCAGCCCCCAGGCTGGGGCACAGGGACTACAGCAACTGCTGTGGTGGCTGGGGGGGGGCAAAGCCTGAGGTGCCACCTGGAGGACACACCCTGTGCAGGAGGGACCATCCAGGGCTCTGTGGCTGTTTAGAGCAGGAAGGATTCATGGGGGAATCAGGAGCTGCACTTTGCAGCCTTTCATCACAGAGCAGGGAGTGATGCTCCCTGCTGCCCTGTTCCCAGGGGATCTGATTCTGCCTCTGATGCTCCTGCTGCAGTTTCACATGAAATCAGTGATTTCCACCTATCTGGGTGGAAAAGTTGTTTCTGGGAGCTGTTAACTGGTCCCTACCAGAGAAACAGACAAGGCAACGTGTGGGTGTGGATGGGTTTTCCAGGAGCAGCAGGAGCATTTCCAAATGTGTGTGGTGTTAATTATTTTTTTTTGC